CGGGCCGCTGTTGGAGCGGCCCCCTCCCTCCCGCCCCTCTTTAAGTGGTTAACTGGTTAAACATAATGTCGATTAAAGGGGATTTTGCATCCCTAGAGCCTACATTTAATAAGCATACACACATGCCTGGCTGGAGGCCACTACTAACAACACTGATCACATGTGCAATCTCTCATCCTTAAATCCTAGCACTTTACAAAGCAGGGCACTAATAATCCCTCTCTCTTCTGCAACACTCATCAGCAGGGTTAACTGGTTAAACATAATGTCGATTAAAGGGGATTTTGCATCCCTAGAGCCTACATTTAATAAGCATACACACATGCCTGGCTGGAGGCCACTACTAACAACACTGATCACATGTGCAATCTCTCATCCTTAAATCCTAGCACTTTACAAAGCAGGGCACTAATAATCCCTCTCTCTTCTGCAACACTCATCAGCAGCAGAGCTTACAGCACTTACAGTGGAGGTTAGTGTCCTCAACCCATTTTACAGAGGGGGAAATTGAGGTACGGAGTCGTCCACATTAACTGGTGCTTTCTCTTACCCCTTCTTTGCTGGGACAGGCACATCTCGGATTAGCTTGCCAATGAAGTATTTGAAATCCAGGGCGCCTCTGTTCTCCAGCGTGAAGCTGCAGGTCTTACGGGTGCCATTCACCATGGAGCCGAAGTTGATGAGTGAGGCAGGAGAAATGCTGTACTTGGTGAACAAGGAACTCACTGACACTTTCACTGGAATGCTGGCAATGGTCTCGCCTCCTTCACAGACACTGGGTTCAATGACCTGGGCAGAGGAGGGTGCATAGGCAAGGGGAGTTCAGAGGACTCATCTGGTCTCGTAAACCCACCGAGCAACACCACCCTGGAGCCGTGGCACGCTTGGCCAAGCACTCCCCACTTGTGTCATTGCAAAGACGTGGCAGAAGTCCCTCGGTGCTTTCATAGATTCACAGATTTGAAGGCCAGAAGGAAGCAGTGGGGTCACTTTGCTGACCTCCTGTCTAGCACAGGTGAGAGAACTTCCCGACAATTATCGCAAAAGCAGAGCTTTTACAAGATCAGACAACCTTGATTTAAGACTTGCCGATGACGGAGAATCCACCATGACCATGGCTAATGACTCTCATTGTTAACAATTTACAGCTTATTTCCTGTCTGAATTAGTTCAGCGTCAACTTCCCACCATTGGAACATGTTCGACTTTCCCAGCTACACTGCAGAGTCCATATGTAATGAGGCTAGGCCAGGGGCGGGTGATAATTTTTTGCCCTGGGGGCCAGGATACTTCCCTGCTTCCCCACACGCAGACCAAACTTCATCTGTGATGATTTTAGTTTTCTTCCAGTTCACTGACGCAATGTTAAATAGCACAGGGCCAAGAGCTGATCGCTGCAGGATCTTACTGCAGGCACATCCTCTTGACAATGACTCCCCATTTACAATTACACTTTGAAACCTAGAACCTAGCCAGTTTTTAATCCACTTAGTGTGTGCTAAGCTCATTTTATAGCACCCTAGTTTTCCCTCTCCCAACACTCTTGCACTATTTGCCCTAGAGAATGCTTGATGTGGAGTTCCTGGATGTTCACTTTCCTACAGTCTACAGCGCTGAACCATCCCTCTTACAGAAACCTGTGACAGAGCAGCTCCAGTAACAGGGTCAGTATTATTCCTTGCAGTAATTTCTACATCATTCTTCTTGGGGAACGTCTTGGCTGGGAAAGGCTACACTTGGGGCTGCCTTAAGCTTTTTCCAGCTCTGGCTCTTTAATCCAATCCAAGGAGAAGTTCGGACAAGAGAGGCCAAGTGCTGCTGGCTCTTTCAACACCTCTCCAAAGCTAGAGACAGAGGCTCATCCCTGCTTTGGGAACATCATGAAAGGCTGGATGCCGTGCACTGCCCCTTTGTGTGTGAGCAGGAACCACAGCAGCATCACAGCTGTCACCGCCACACACAGGGCACCAGCAGCTGGCTGTCAACCATCACAGCGTGAGCGGTGCCAATGTCTTTATAGGCATCTCACCTGGCAGTGCAGGATAGGCTTGTCTTCAATCTTTATTTCCTTCTTGGAGCGGAAGACGATTTGGATCTGGGTGGGGCGGTCGACAGCAGCCAAAGTCCCCTTCTGGGGCTGGATGCTGAAGACAGAGTTCAAATTTGGCATGTTGTCTTCATGAGATTCGAGAGTCAAGCTGACGGAAGGAAACAAAACAAATACTCTGTGTGAATTGGCCTGTTCGGCTAAGGATACTACAGCTACTTGCATAGTCGGGAAGCCCGGCTGACAGCCTCTGCAGGAGACACTTTGGAATGTGAATTTCCTAATTCACACAGCTCTGGAAATTCAAATAGTGGATGTTAGCTTGATTTACTTCCAAGGCCCGATTTTCAAAGGGCCTGAGTTCGCTCTACGCACCTCTCTGTGCATGTCCTCATTTTTAGGGTGCGCATGCTTTGCAAAAAGGCGATGTTTAAAGAGACGCCAGACACCTTGGGATGGGCTATTCCAGACACTCCCAGGCCCCCTGGTGGAGGCCTTATTGCCCTACTGCCCTCTGTCCCAAAAAAGGGCAGTAGAGAGCGTTCTCTAAGCTGCCTAGAGTGGCTGTGTGGGGCACAGCCAATCAGGGCTTGGCAGTCTAGCATAACAAGAGGTGCTGGGGCAAAGGCAGTTCAGTCCCTTGCTGGAGCTGGAGGAACGTGTACGGGGAGTAGCTGGCTGATGGAGCTGCAGGACATTGGGCAGGGTGAAGACAATGCCGGGCTGTGGGGAAGTGGCCTAGGAAATTAGAGATGCAGGAGACAGAGTTAAAGGGACACAGCAGATGGCTGTAATCTACACAGTCATTGGCCTGGAGTAGCAAGAGGCAGTGTCTCTCTCATCCCCCCACTAACTGTTGGGGGAAAGTGGCCGGGGCATAGCGGTACCCCAGAAGGGAACTGAACTATACTGGCCCAGCTGAAGAGCCCAAGGACTCCTGGAGAACTCCTCTATCCCAGAACAGGGACAAATTGAGAGAGAGTGTGCAGGTATGTGCACGTGGCCCCTGAAACCTATAAATAAATCACAGCCATGCCCACTGGGCAATGATTTACATTGTGTTGTGTTTCTTCTTCCATTGTCTGCCCTGGAAAGAGCAGTTGTTGGTGCGCAGAAGGAAGCTGTGTTGAACATTTGAAAGTGGTGAGCTCTGAGCTTTGCTACTTTCCCTGACTGTGATCTAGCCATTCTAGGAAGAGGTTCTACCCAGGAGAGTAAAGGAATGAAAGATTTGATTGATGGAGATATCAAATGCTTATACACCACAGACCTGAAATAGTTAGTAGCTTACCTGTATAAAATCTCATATTTTCCTTTGTTCTTCAGAGACAGTATTTGCCTAGCTTCATCCAGTACTCTGATGATCCCAAAATCCAAACCACCATCTGTACCTGCAGAGGCCACAAGTGGGAGGAGAAATAGTGATGGATACAGGCAGTCCCCGGGTTAAGTACAAGATAGGGACTGTAGGTTTGTTCTTAAGTTGAATTTGTATGTAAGTCGGAACTGGTACATATTGTAGGGGAAACTCTAGCCAAACATTTCTCCAGAGCTCAGTTTTATTCTCCCACACTTCACTTCCCTCAGTCCTTTATTCTCAAGCTGAGGTGTCTGCTGAGAAAAGCCACTCCGCGTCTCCCTGGTCTGCTGGGGGGGAGCAGCTAGTGCGGGGTTGCCTCATCCCGTTTGTAAGTAGGGATCTGATGTAAGTCGGATCCATGTAACCCGGGGACTGCCTGTACTCAGATGTTGAATGAAACACATAACCAAACAATTAATAGCCAGAAAGTCAAAGTCCTCCAAACAAAATCTTTGGTCTCAAAAATTGCTCCAGGATGCTCCAATGCCCTTTGTTATACGGTAAGGATGTTAAGTATCATTTAATTGACTAATCAAACAGTCGATAAGGCACTATTACATCCCTAGTTAGTACTGCCCCCCGACATGCCCTTGGTTTGATCACAATGTCTTTATTGCATACCATCATCCTGACCTCATCTTTTAGGAGAGCCTTGGGGAGTGTTTTTGTACCACGCTTGATATCCAAATGTTTGCTATGACCTGCTGTGTTTGTGTGCGCTCTGTAACTAGAAGTTCTTAGTCAGACTCTGTAAATAGCTTCTGCCTCATATCCAGCTTAGGTCTCAGGCTCTCTTCTTAGTACATTACAGTGACCTTAATTCACCCTTTAGTGTGTATATACACATACAGTCTTTATGACTTGGTCAGAGTCTACTGGACGCTTGCCTCGTTCCGTTCTAACTGGGATCCTATGCCGAATGACGGCAACCTTAATTTTTCTCAATGATCCAGCGAGACCAGCCTGCCTGTGAGGGACAAGGACTGACCTTTGGGGAAGCTGATGTCCAAAGCAACGTCGTAGGACTCGGCCATGACTTGGATGTTTTCATACTGAACAATCCCCAGGATGTTTTCCATGTCTGATACCTGAAGCAACAAGAAACAGCCTCACTCGGAGCATCCTCTGATCTCTGCTGACTGACATCACGGGAGTTTTTCGCACTGCCAGCTGCTCCCACCACCTGCTTCCTACTTTGGCATCAGATTCCAGTCCCAGCAGCAATCCAGTCGCAAGGCGTTTCCTACCCTGATAGCCTCCTGGGCTGGCCCAAAGGATTCTGCAGATGTGTGAACTATCAGCCCCTTCCAGGCTGAGAAACTCCCTACTAATGGTTACCAGCACAGCTGGCAAGAAGAGATGTTCTGAACAAGCCCCAGCCACGCTTGCATGGCTGTCCTTCTGAACAGCAGCCCTGCTGCAATGCAGGGGGCAGGGCACAGACTCCTGGGCTGTCCCTTTTCCTGCAATTCATTGCTAGTTACATTTCAAAACCCAGCTGGTTTCCCGCAGGGCCCTGCAGTGGGACTGTCTGGCAGGGAAGAGGCAGAGGCTGTGCGGGAATCCTACAGTCACTCCAGATGTGCCAAATGGGACTAGCCAATGCCAAAGGGAGCATGCCGTGTCAGCAACTCAATCAGCCCACTCCCTTGACCTGCATCTGCCCTGGGCATTGGATTTGTTCTTGGACGGCTCTCTCACCCAACCAACCGGTGGGAACTGGGGCTGCCCCAAACCGAGTGTCTTGAGAGACAGCTCACAGTCCAGACTCTGGCCCAGCAGGGTGGTCAGACTGGGGAGTTGTGAGACTCAGGTTCTCCGAGATACACTGGAATATTTTTGATTCTAACAAGGAAGAGCGACAGAAACATCTGCCTGTTCAGCTGCCTGCCAGAGCTACTCCCCTCGTCAGCCCATAACACTTGGCTTACCAAGCAGGAGCTCAGCTACAAGAAAGCAGCCTCACTGGTTACTCCAGGATCCAACTCTTCAACAAGTTGGTCCCCTTGGGGGGGGACACCAGGCCAGAGCTAGCGGGAGAGGAGCTAGCAGATGTGAAGTCACCTGCCATCGCTGGGAACTGCCAAGTACAAACCTTAGCGCCAGCTCTCCGAAGAGTCAGAAGGCAGGCCTACGAATTTGCAGGTGCTGGGGAGGGAAGGGTCTGCCTCACCTCCAATCGGATGATCTTCTTTATGTTGAGAGGTTTCGTAGCCTTGAAATGCAGCTGCAGGCAGTACTCTGAGCGGGGACCAATGATGCCCTGGTCTTGCAAGACAGAGAAATCATCTCCCAGGTTCTCCAGGCCACTGAGCCGCCAGGCTACCGGCATCGGGGAGGCGTTTCTCAGGGAAAGCATCTTGGTGTCCTTTCTACAAGGAGAGGGAGACATTTAGTTGTTGCTAACAAAACAGCCATTTTAGCTTTGCATTTGAATGGGGCCAGGCTGGTCCAGTCTCATGTGCCCTATTACAGGGCCCGCAGGGTTAACCATATTCAGTTCTTTTTGACTGTGCATGTGCCAGAACCTTCGGTTCAGTTTTGGGGAGAATGGCAGGGTTTAGCTACAATGAGCATAAGCAAATAAGAACTTATGGTGCAGATGAACATCTGACTGGCTGGCTCCTTTCCTCCACATGGCAGCGGGAGCACTTGGGTCATCCCGATGAACCAGGCTGACTGTGGGCCACATCCAGAGTCCTAGTCAGGAACAAGTGCCCCAGAAAGTTCTCTGGACTGCAGCTACTACTTCACGGCAGGGCAGTGACGGAGCGGTGTGTTGGGCGCGAGAGCGGGATGGCATCATTTGGGGTCTACGCTGTAGATATTCTACCGCTACGTAATCCCGCCTCTCTAGGAGTTCTCTGGTTTACTTTGACATTGAATCGCTCACACCTGTGGAATTCAGAGTTAGAAGTGCAACACAAGGACTCGTTTAAACATAGGAAGGTGGATGGAGGGAACTGCTGAGGAGACGCAGGATAAGCTGCTCCAGCCCAGTAGGAAAACGGCCTGCTGCAGGGTGACCTGCAATAGCCACAAAGGAGAAGGCTCTAGGAGTTCTCTGGTTTACTTTGACATTGAATCGCTCACACCTGTGGAATTCAGAGTTAGAAGTGCAACACAAGGACTCGTTTAAACATAGGAAGGTGGATGGAGGGAACTGCTGAGGAGACGCAGGATAAGCTGCTCCAGCCCAGTAGGAAAACGGCCTGCTGCAGGGTGACCTGCAATAGCCACAAAGGAGAAGGCTGATCAGAGCTTGCCTTCTGGTCTGTTGGTGGACAGGCTGAGCACGGAGCTGCAGAAGCTCAGATCAGTGGAGAAGGATCCTGGCTTCTGTTCCCCATGACATGGGCCTTCCTGAAGGAAGGGGGCTTGTAACGGGGATGTTCCAGTGCCCCGCTAAGGAGCCACGTTGTCCCCAGCCCTCTGGGGAGAGGCGGCTCTCCAGCCATGTCCCCAGCTCTGCTGCGCCTGTGTCCAGGCTGTGCCAGCAGAACGCCAGAGGCTCTGCCCCCTCTGCATGGGACGCGGCGTCAGCTGGCTGCGCCGGGGAGGAGAGGAGCGGCGCCGACGTCCGCCCGTCCGGAACACACCCACTCTGCAGGGGCCGAGGATTGGGTGCACGGCAGAGCTGACGGGATGGCTCAAAAGGCCAGCGATGGCTGAAGGAGAAGGGAGAGAGGAGGCGGCTCCCAACAACGCGGGACCTCCTGACCCTGGGGAGAGCAGACAGCTGACCGAGGGAGGCAGGAAGTGACCCAGGGCCTGGCCACGGAGGCCCGTGGGTTGGTGCGTTGCGGGGATCTCCCCCCACCAACCAAATCATAGGAGAGCGTTTCCTAGGGCCCTGGGTTGGGGCTCGGAGTGGGGGAAGGCGAGCCCCCCTATGCCCTCCTTGGCCAAGGCGCCGGTGAAAGACTTGTAGTGTACAGGACTATACGTAAACTCGGCTACATGCCTAGAAGGGCGGTGGGCACGGTCCCGGACGGGAGGGGGAAGATAGCGACGTGGGCGGTGCAGGAAGGCCGCGCCGGGTCCCAGGGCTAAAGGATGGGACCCCGGCAAGAGCACAGCAGCCTCACGAGAGAATCGGGGGGACAAACCTTGGCAGTAATACCTGGCAACCCTTGGGAGTGTGGCACGGAGCATACTGGCTCCTCCAAAGCACAGATGTATGGAAAGCCCCAACATCACTGACCGCCACAGTCCAGTCCAAAGAAGGGGTAAAAATGTGGGACCTAATCATGGGCATGCAGGGGAACATATGGGTCCTGTGCCACTCCCCCCATTTTCTGTGAGCATCAAGCTGCCCTGCACGGCTTGTACTGCTCAGCCTGGGGTAGGGGGCTCAAGCAGAGCAAGCCAGCAGCCTGGCTATGGTGGGGAGCAGGAAGAAGCAGACCCTCCAGCCCAGCCCCACCCGACCCCACCTCCTTGCTCTGCTCCCATAGGCACCCACTGTTGTACAGGAAACAGAAAGACAGTAGGACGCAGGCAGCGTCAAGGGAGCAGGCTGGAGTAAGAGCCAGCGGGGCAGGGAGGGAATCGGACAGGAGAAAGAGAAAGGGGTGGAGGGAGTGGGGAGAAGGGATGGGATGGTTGATGGCAGGGAAGGAAAGGAGGTGTGAATATGGGAACATGGGTGGGAATGGGAGCTGGTGCCAGAGTGGCCACAGTCCCTGTTCTCTGGTCATCACAGCAGGCAGCAGCAGCTGGGTTCAGCCATTAAAGCCATCCTGTCTCATCCTTCTCCCTCCTCCCTGGAACCTGCAGTCCAGGTACCATTCCACGCGAGAGGAGAGAACCAGTCAGCCAAGGAAACAGGCTTCAGTGTCCATGTGTGTGCGTGTGCGCTCACACTCTGTCCCCCCAGTATACCAGTCAAACTATGCTTCTGCATTTAAATGGCTCATGCAATGGTTCCTGTGGCCAGGCAGTGCTGTTTTCACAGCATGCTCCAACTTGAACAGGGCCAGTGCTGGGAATTAAGCCTCACTGGTACCAAATACCCTGAGTGAAGGAGGAGAGGAACTGGAGAGAAAGTGCAAGCCCTTGAGTCAGCTCAAAACCCCTGGACAACGTCTGGCCCAGCTCCAGACGATGTTCTGACAATTTTCCAGAATCCCAACCTGTGCAGCAGCAGCTTCTCGAAATGCAGCTGCTTGCGGTCAAGCTCCAGTTCGGGACGCACCCCTTGGCAGCAGATTCTGAAGACCACTGGCTCTGGGTTCTCTTTAATGCAGCAGACAATGCTGTCGTCAAATATGCCAGGTGCGGTGGGATAGGCCCAGATGCTCAGCTCCTGGCAGGACACCCCGGAGAGGAGAGAGAGAATAAGGCACTCATTCAGAGGGGCAAAGGGGTCCCATATCTCATGAGACTGCTCTGACTGCTTGTCTCCTACCTGCTTCTCATTGGGTTTCAGCAGCATGGTGGGAGGTTCCAAGAGGTATGTATTTGCCTTGATGTCATGCTGGAAGCAGAAAAACACCTCTGCTTCCAAAGGGGAGCTATTGAGGATCGTTATCTTCTCGGAGTTGTTGGGGTATCGGAGGGCCTTGTACCTGCAAATGAAATGCACTGTAGAAGAAACAGTGGGCCAGGGAAAATGCTGCATATTTGTCCTTTCTTATGCCACATATGCAGCACCTCTTTCATGCATCTGTACATGCCCCAGCTCCTGTGAACACAAGGCAGTTCTGAAAATAGCCCCATCATAATCATCTCATTGGTCTAGGGAACAGCGTAGAAACGAGGGTTACTCCCCGGTAACAGGGTGCCAGGGAACAGCGTAGAAACGAGGGTTACTCCCCGGGAACAGGGTGCCAGGGAACAGCATAGAAACAAGGGTTACTCTCCGGTAACAGGGTGCCAGGGAGCAGCGTAGAAACGAGGGTTACTCCCCGGGAACAGGGTGCCAGGGAACAGCGTAGAAATGAGGGTTACCCCCCGGTAACAGGGTGCCAGGAAGCAGCGTAGAAACGAGGGTTACTCCCCGGGAACAGGGTGCCAGGGAACAGCGTAGAAATGAGGGTTACCCCCCGGTAACAGGGTGCCAGGAAGCAGCGTAGAAACGAGGGTTACTCCCCGGGAACAGGGTGCCAGGGAACAGCGTAGAAATGAGGGTTACCCCCCGGTAACAGGGTGCCAGGAAGCAGCGTAGAAACGAGGGTTACTCCCCGGGAACAGGGTGCCAGGGAACAGCGTAGAAATGAGGGTTACCCCCCGGTAACAGGGTGCCAGGAAGCAGCGTAGAAACGAGGGTTACTCCCCGGGAACAGGGTGCCAGGGAACAGCGTAGAAATGAGGGTTACCCCCCGGTAACAGGGTGCCAGGAAGCAGCGTAGAAACGAGGGTTACTCCCCGGGAACAGGGTGCCAGGGAACAGCGTAGAAATGAGGGTTACCCCCCGGTAACAGGGTGCCAGGAAGCAGCGTAGAAACGAGGGTTACTCCCCGGGAACAGGGTGCCAGGGAACAGCGTAGAAATGAGGGTTACCCCCCGGTAACAGGGTGCCAGGAAGCAGCGTAGAAACGAGGGTTACTCCCCGGGAACAGGGTGCCAGGGAACAGCGTAGAAATGAGGGTTACCCCCCGGTAACAGGGTGCCAGGAAGCAGCGTAGAAACGAGGGTTACTCCCCGGGAACAGGGTGCCAGGGAACAGCGTAGAAATGAGGGTTACCCCCCGGTAACAGGGTGCCAGGAAGCAGCGTAGAAACGAGGGTTACTCCCCGGGAACAGGGTGCCAGGGAACAGCGTAGAAATGAGGGTTACCCCCCGGTAACAGGGTGCCAGGAAGCAGCGTAGAAACGAGGGTTACTCCCCGGGAACAGGGTGCCAGGGAACAGCGTAGAAATGAGGGTTACCCCCCGGTAACAGGGTGCCAGGAAGCAGCGTAGAAACGAGGGTTACTCCCCGGGAACAGGGTGCCAGGGAACAGCGTAGAAATGAGGGTTACCCCCCGGTAACAGGGTGCCAGGAAGCAGCGTAGAAACGAGGGTTACTCCCCGGGAACAGGGTGCCAGGGAACAGCGTAGAAATGAGGGTTACCCCCCGGTAACAGGGTGCCAGGAAGCAGCGTAGAAACGAGGGTTACTCCCCGGGAACAGGGTGCCAGGGAACAGCGTAGAAATGAGGGTTACCCCCCGGTAACAGGGTGCCAGGAAGCAGCGTAGAAACGAGGGTTACTCCCCGGGAACAGGGTGCCAGGGAACAGCGTAGAAATGAGGGTTACCCCCCGGTAACAGGGTGCCAGGAAGCAGCGTAGAAACGAGGGTTACTCCCCGGGAACAGGGTGCCAGGGAACAGCGTAGAAATGAGGGTTACCCCCCGGTAACAGGGTGCCAGGAAGCAGCGTAGAAACGAGGGTTACTCCCCGGGAACAGGGTGCCAGGGAACAGCGTAGAAATGAGGGTTACCCCCCGGTAACAGGGTGCCAGGAAGCAGCGTAGAAACGAGGGTTACTCCCCGGGAACAGGGTGCCAGGGAACAGCGTAGAAATGAGGGTTACCCCCCGGTAACAGGGTGCCAGGAAGCAGCGTAGAAACGAGGGTTACTCCCCGGGAACAGGGTGCCAGGGAACAGCGTAGAAATGAGGGTTACCCCCCGGTAACAGGGTGCCAGGAAGCAGCGTAGAAACGAGGGTTACTCCCCGGGAACAGGGTGCCAGGGAACAGCGTAGAAATGAGGGTTAATTTTCACAGGGTGCTGCCAGTGACCTCTGCAGCTTCACGCCAGTGGATCAGTTGCCTCTGCAGAGGCCCCTGGAAGGAGAAATGCTGTTTTGCTGAAAAGCAAAACTCAGTCTGGCTTGTGACTTGTTATGTTGCTTTGTTTGGTTCCTTTATGAGGAATAAATAAAGCCTGATAGGCTTTTAAAGAGCTTAAAACTACAGGCAGTCCCCGGGTTACGTACAAGATAGGGACTGTAGGTTTGTTCTTAAGTTGAATTTGTATGCAAGTTGGAACTGGTACATATTGTAGGGGAAACTCTAGCCAAACATTTCTCCAGAGCTCAGTTTTATTCTCCCACACCTCACTTCCCTCAGTCCTTTCTTCTCAAGCTGAGAAAAGCCGCTCTGCGTCTCCCTGGTCTGCTGGGGGGAAGCAGCTAGTGCGGGGTTGCCTCACCCCGTTTGTAAGTAGGGATCTGATGTAAGTCGGACCCATGTAACCCGGGGACTGCCTGTAGTTCACTTTTTATGACTGCTGTTCACCTGAGAAATACCAGGACATGTCCTTGGGTTCCCTGCTTTGCTGGATGTTTCAGGTGTGTGCCCACTTTAAGGGGCAGGGGAGGAAATGCTGAACCCTGGAGAAAGGAATCCTTTTCTCCAAAGCGTGAAATAGGGTTTAGTGTTAAATTGTTAAAGAAACAAAAGCAAAGCACAGGCTGCTAAAACAACCTGCCTAAATATTCCCTTTTGCTCTCACTTGGATACAAAAGGTAGCCTTTCCGGGATGCTTAGTAGGTAAACTGGTTAACCAGAGGGCTGGCCAGTGGGAGCAGACCCCCAAACCATGGTGGCCCGGCCGGCAGCCTTCCCCCACACTAGACTGGAAGGGGTTAATTCAGCTCTAAGGGCAAGGGAGGTCATGCCCCTTGTAGCCTACTGGGCATGCTCCAGCTGCTCGGGTATAAAAGAGGGCTAACACAGGACAGTTGGGGTGGACAGCTGGAGGGGAAGCAGCTTGGTTAGGGGATCTTGACCAGCTACCGCCACAGACCCTGCAGCAGGCACCGCGATACGAGCCAGGCCCCAGGACCAGAGCAAACCCAGGGATGTAGGAAGGAGCCCAGGGCAGGGGATTGACCCCCAGGAGCTCAGCACTGGGGGGCAGCCCCCGCCGAGCAGGCAGCAATAGCACACGCTGCCAACAGGCCCTGGGCTGGGACGCAGGGGAGAGAGGGCCTGGGTCCTCCTACGGCCCCTACCCCATAGCAATCCAGCTCCCAGGCTCCTCGGGAGGCCCGCCTGGGAACCAGGCCGTCAAGGGGGTCCGTACCCTGAGGGAGGGAAGCTGTGTTTGGGGACTAGGCGCCCCCGCCGAGCAGGCAGCAATAGCACACGCTGCCAACAGGCCCTGGGCTGGGACGCAGGGGAGAGAGGGCCTGGGTCCTCCTACGGCCCCTACCCCATAGCAATCCAGCTCCCAGGCTCCTCGGGAGGCCCGCCTGGGAACCAGGCCGTCAAGGGGGTCCGTACCCTGAGGGAGGGAAGCTGTGTTTGGGGACTAGGCTGCAGAGGCCGTATTGACCCTATAGGGGTGCAATGGACTTGTGTATTGACCCTACTATAGGTGCAAGAGATTTGTGACTAGGCCCAAGAGGCCATACTGATCCTATAGGGGTGAATTAGACTGGTGCCCAGGCCCAAGGGCTGTATTGAAGGAATGCCTGGCAGAGCACTGCAAGCGCCACTGACGGCTAGAGCCAGAGCAGCTTCCCTCAACCCCGTCCCCACAGCCAGTAGTGAACTGGCTAAACAAACTGTCTAACCAGTTAACTAGTTTGGGTGGTTTTTACATCCCTAGCTCTCACTTGCTTCGATTTCCATCTCGATACAACAAAGCACCACTAACTCTCCAGTTATCCACGGAGTAGCCATGCAGAACAGAACCGACTTTAATGTTAACAACGCAGTAATCACCCCCCCCCGCCTCATGACAGTAACTAAAACCAGCAGTTGTGCTTCAGTGTCTGCGGGTGGGCGGGCAGGTACAGTGATGGCCAAAGCAGCCCCACGTGCATGTGCTCGACTGGCGTAACAATGGCAGAAGTGAAGGTAAAACGTGGGAGCATAGCCATAACCTAGGAAACAAACTAACAGAAAGGGCAGGCGGCCAATCTTTATTCCTCTGCAGCTCATCTTCCAGCCAAGCCGAACCAAACAACCCACCTGCACTGGGGCCAACGCTGACGAATCGAGTTGTTCGTGACCAAGGGTGTACATTATAACACAGCCCTGCGCGCGAGCGGCTCACCCCGACTCCCTTCCCAAAGCCCTCTGTCCCCATTACACTGAGGTGGAACCTGAGGCCGAGAAAGGGGATGTGTTTCGCCCTTGTTCACTCATAGATTGCACTGCCCTTGGGGACCAGGGCAGCGTTTCTGCTAGTCAACCTGCATTGCCTAGTGCACTTTGGGCCATTCAGAATAAAAGGGTGTCGTTCGTAACCCACAGCAGCACTAGGGGACCAGACTCCTGCTCCTCTTGCCGGTACCTGTCTCTCGACTTCCCACAGAGCAGCGGGCCGAAGTGGAACACCCCTGAGCTCATCACGTACTGCTTGGCGATGATGTCGTCAGGCCTCGCACTCTTCCTGCGGTGGGGGAACACCACCCTGGAGCAGAGAAGCAGATGGGTGAGAGGCGCTGCAGCAGCTGGCATGCCTGTGGCTAGAGGAGTCTGGTAAAATTTCAGTGTAACAATCTTTCGTCTGAATTTGCTGATGCCATGCTGTGTTCCTGCCAGCTTGCCCACCCAACTCCTCGGCAGCCCCAGCCCACATGGCCTGTCCCAGAGGCGAGGCTTCATTCATTGTCCCCAAGAATTTGGAGAAGTTTTGTTTCCAGTTCAAATCAGAACAAAATCAAACTCCAAGAACGATCCAAAGTCTTCCACAAAACAAGCTTCCCAGGTCAGCCCATAGTTCCTGCAAGCCTTCAGTAACCCCAGGAAGAGCAGAATCAAGCCCAGCATCCTGTGCTCAAGCACGGAGGGTGAGATTCAACATCAGTCCTCCCGCCCTGCCCCACAAGCATAAGGCCCACCAGTTCTCTCCAGCATCTCTTGCAACCGCCTGCCAACAGGGGCTAACAGGGAGTTTGGAGAGGGAGTTCTCCTGGTGAAGGAGGAAGCTAATACAGGACCCTTGAGGGAAGTGGCTGTCTGTAGTGTGTGTTTGGGGTTTTCTTGCTGTGTGCTGAGCTGGTGTTTAGCTGTTTGGGTTTTTTTTCCTCCTTTCCCTTCCCCCTCCCTCTCCCCATGGAGTGTGTGCTGTGGCTGGCAGGTGGAAGCTGTGAGCTTCTAATCCCCCATTCCTGTAGAGGTAAGTAACTACTATCAGGCTCTCTCCACAGGCACTGTGGTGGAGAATGCTTTGGCAGGGACCTCTCAAGGAAGAAATCCGAAGGGAACACCATCTACCGGAAGGCATGGGATGCGTAGTCCTAGGGATGGGGGTTCCACAACCATCACCCCCAAGAGAAGATGATGGGTGGTGGTGGTCGGGGATTCCCTCCTAAGAGGGACTGAGCCATCCATCTGCCGTCCAGACCTGCAATCTCAAGAAGTGTGCGGCTTACCAGGAGCTCGCATTCGGGATGTGACTGAGAGTCTTCCAAAAGCGATTAAACTTCCTGCTTAACCATGTGGGAACTAACGATACAGCCAAGAATGACCTTGAGCGGGTCAGAGCAGATTATGTAGCGTTAGGAAGAAAGATCAAGGAATTTGAAGCACAAGTGGTGTTCTCGTCCATCCTTCTGGCTGAAGGACAAGGTCCAGGTAGGGATGGTCAAATTGAGGAAGTAAATGCGTGGTTGTGCAGGTGGTGTCGGAGAGAGGGCTTTGGTTTCTCTGACCACGGGACTCTGTTCCGGGCACAGGGATTGTTAGGAAGAGATGGGATCCAGCTAACCAAGAGAGGAAAGAGCATCTTCACGGGCAGGCTTGCAAACCTAGTGAGGAGGGCTTTAAACTAGATTCGTTAGGGGATGGTGACCTAAGCCCTGAGGTAAGTGGGGGAAGTTGGATACCGGGAAGCAACAACAAAGGAGGACCTCCGATTTGGATGGAGAAGGTAGGATGATCAGCTGGTTATCTAACGTGTTTGTACACAAATGCGAGACGCCTGGGGAACAAATAGGAAGAATTAAAAGCCCTTGCCCAGTGAAAGAACTATGATTGACTGGAATAATGGAGACTTGGTGGGATGACTCGCATGACTGGAGCACAGTCATGGAAGGGTATAAACTGTTCAGGAAGAACAGGTGAGGAAGAAAAGGAGGAGTTGCATTGTACGTAAGACAGCACTATGATTGCTTGGAGCTCCAGTATTTAGAGGGAGAAAAGACTGTTGAGAGTCTAAGGGTTAAATTTAGAGGTGGAAGCAACAGGAGTGACGTTGTGGTTGGTGTCTGCTATAGACCACCGGATCAGGTGGATGAGGTGGACAAGGCTTTCTTTGGACAACTGAGAGAAGCTTCCAGATCTCAGGCCCTGGTTCTCCCTGACATCTGTTGGGAGACCAATACACAGACAATCCAGGACGTTTTTGGAGGATGTTGGGGATAACTTCTTGGTACAAGTGCTGAAGGAACCAACCAGGGCCATGTACAGCTTGACCTGCTGCTCACAAACAGGGAGGCACTAGTAGGGGAAGAAGAGGCAGGTGACAACCTGGGCAGCAGTGATCACGAGATTGTAGATTTTAGGATCCTGACCAAAGGAATAAAGGAGAGTAGCAAAACACACACCCTGGACTTCAGAAAAGCAGACTTTGACTCCCTCAGAGACCTGATGGGTGGGGTTCCCTGGGATGCTAACATGAAGGGGAAAGGAGTCCAGGAGAGCTGGCAGTATTTTAAAGAAGCCTTATTAAAGGCACAGGAAGAAACCATCTCGATGCGCAGCAAGAAAAGCAAATATGGTAGGCAACCAGACTGGTTACCGGGGACATCCATGGTGAGCTTAAATACAAAAAGGAAGCTTACAAGAAGTGGAAACTTGGACGAATTACTAGGGAGGAGTATAAATATATTGCTCGAGAATGCAGGGGAGTTATCAGGAAGGCAAAAGCGCAATTGGAATTGCAGCTAGCAAGGGATAACAAGAAAGGTTTCTACAGGTATGTTAGCAATAAGAGGGTCATAAGAGAAGTTGCGGGGCCCTTACTGGATGAGGGAGGTAACCTAGTGACAGATGATGTGGGAAAAGCTGAAGCACTCAATGTTTTCTTTGCCTCTGTCTTCACGGACAAGGTCAGCTCCCAGAAAAATGCACTAGGCAACACAGTATGGGAAGGAGGTGGACAGCCTTTGGTGGGGAAGAACAAGTTAGGAACTATTTAGAAAAGCTAAACATACACAAATCCATGGTTCCGGACTTAGTGCATCCGAGGGTACTGAAGGAGTTGGCAAATGTCATTGCAGAGCCTTTGGCTATTATCTTTGAAAACTCGTGGAGATCGAGAGAGATCCCAGATGATTGGAAAAAGGCAAATGTAGTGCCAATCTTCAAAAAAGGGAAGAAGGATGATCCAGGGAACTACAGACCAGTCAGCCTTACCTCAGTCCCCGGAAAAATCATGGAAGGGACCCTCAAGGAATCCATTTTGAAGCACTTGGAAGAGGGGAAAGTGATTAGGAATAGTCAGCATGGATTCACAAAGGGCAAGTCGTGCCTGACCAATCTGATTAGCTTCTATGATGAGGTAACTGGCTCTGTGAATATGGGAAAGTCGGTGAATGTGATATATCTTGATTTTAGCAAGGCTTTTGATACGGTCTCCCACAATAAGGGAATATGGATAAATGGACGGTAAGATGGATAGAAAGCTGGCTAGACTGTCGGGCCCAGCGGGTAGTGATCAATGGCTCGATGTCAGGATGGCGGTTGGTTTCTAGCGCAGTGCCCCAAGGTTCGGTTCTAGGACCGGTTTTGTTCAATATCTTTATTAATGATCTGGATGAGGGGCTGGATTGCACCCTCAGCAAGTTTGCAGATGACACTAAGCTAGGGGGAGAGGTAGATACGCTGGAGGACAGGGAGAGGGTCCAGAGTGACCTGGACAGATTAGAGGATTAGGCCAAAATAAATTGATGAGGTTCAACGAAGACAAGTGTAGAGTCCTGCACTTGGGATGGAAGAATCCCAAGCATTGTTACAGGCTGGGGGCTGACTGGCTAAGTAGTAGTTCTGCAGAAAAGGACCTGGGGGTTGCAGTGGGTGAGAAGCTGGATATGAGTCAACAGGGGGCCCTTGTAGCCAAGAAGGCTAATGGCATATTAGGTTGCATTAAGAGGAGCATTGCCAGCAGATCCAGAGATGTCATCATTCCCCTTTATTCAGCTCTGGTGAGGCCACATCTGGAGTACTGTGTCCAGTTCTGGGCCCCCCCACTACAAAAAGGATGTGGACGCATTGGAGA